AGTAAAATCAATTTTCGCACTGGATTTCATTTTGCCATGCAGTTCATGCAACATAGGGTACTCAATGAGCAAGAAGCGATCCCTCTTGTATAAGATTTACGCCTCTGTGATAGAAGTAATAATGTGGTTTTTGGCTTTATATTGTTTTATTATAATGTTCAAAGATGATATCATGTGTTCTGCTTTCTATGTTATGCGATTTCCCTCAAATCAGCTGAAAGCATTATTATCATTTATATCTCTGTTCATGGCCATGCAGCTGACTACAGTAAACAGAAGGAAATTCACAATTCATTGTAGAATCAGTAGTTATAAAGGAGAAATGGAATGGGTAAAACAAAAAGAAATATACTTGTTAACAATTTTCGGTGTGTTTTTTGTAGTTTGCGTTATAAGTTATTTATTTTCTATGACGGCATATTTTTCAATATACCGCGAGAACAGAGATGCATTCGAAGCTTTTGCCTGCTCATTTTTAACTCAATTATGGTGGTTTTATACATGCGGTCAGACATGTTTGATTCTTACTTGCTGTATGACTACATTTGTTATTATAAGAAACAGATTGGTCCAATTATCTTCTAAACTGGTCGATGCAAGGAAACATCATCTGTATCTGAATGAATTCATAGAAAATTTGATCGAGAGTCATTTTGAAATATGGCAATTTTTACAACATATCAGTGACAGGTGGAACGTATATTTTCCACTTGTTTACATTTATTTTATGTATGCCTCCAGTTTTCAATTGTATGCGATAATTTTTATCGATATGATTGAAGAAACTCGAATCGTTTTAACAATACTATGCGTAATTTACCTATTGGGATCAGTTTTGACAGCCTGGGCATTATCAAATTTCATTTCTCAGGTATGTTTTTCCATTATTTCTAGTACGAAAAACAAATTTAGACTACAAATAAAAATTATCTTTTGAATTGATTTTCAGTTCTATGACAATTTCATTTCTATTGGAAGATTTTCGGATGCAAATTTAAGTACGGAATATAAGTATAAAGTATGTGTTTTTCCTCGTTTGCGAAAAGTTGTGTTTATAAATTATTATAGACGAAGATATATTTATGCATTTTCTGTTTACAGATAATCGATTTTATGAAGAGATTCGAAGGAAGAGCTATAGGAATATCGATTGGAGGATTTTTCGTAATTAAAAGAGACTTTGTCGTAAGGGTGAGTAAAGTTAAGTAAAACAGCTTATATCACATTATTTTTTCGCAGTTTTTACGTATTGATGAATATTATATATTAAATACACGAATATTCAGCTAATTCGTTTAAAACTTTAATTAAACTGGCCATAGCTTTTACTTCCTGACTGTTATATGTTAGACCGAAAGCGGATGGTTAATGAACGTACCCCTTTACTAGTGAATGTACAGTACAGTACTGTACATCTTCACTAAAGTAATCGGTGAATCTATACTACAGAGTTATCTATACACATTCACTAGTAAAAGCATACTTTCGTTGCTCGTCATTAGGGAGCAGTGTAGAATATGTATATTTATTCACAGCAACGTTGCAATGTTTGGCTACTTTGCGCCAAACTGGGCCACCTTTTTTGAGTCTGGTGTAAAAAAAACTCATTTGGTACATTTACTATTTTGGTATATTTACTACATAAAGCATTTTCTCCTATCAACTCTGCCAGAGGAGTTGGACACTTTTAGGAAATACTACCTACAAGCATTTGACAATGCTGAGCACAGCTGCAGTTTATATACTGAAGCTTACTACACTCAGATGATGTTTTTAAATTTTCTATATGCGTGATTTCCAATACTCTGCGTTTTAATCGTTTGAGCTATTCATATTCATAAATATTTCGAAAGACTGTTCTTACGATCTGTTTAAAAATGGTTCAGTTTAGTTTTGCTACAGTCTCGAAACTGAAGACAGTTTCTATTAACTAGGCACAAAAGACGGTGTTTTCCTACAACTTTTTACAAGATCTCAATTTTTGGGTTCTTTCAAAAAAATTGATCGCTGAATGCGAAGCTCCCTCAGACCACACTGTTATTTTAAGAACGATTGCAACTGCCCAATCTTGAGGTACAAGACAAGACTTTTTCAAATGATCTTGCACTTTGGGATGCCAGACTATGAAGTGTAAATGCGAGAAGAATAACACTTCTGTCATAACTCTTCATGTTGTTCCAATAAATGAAAAATCAAGCAAAGAGCTGCGTAACTTCCGCAGCTGTTATAAGATTTTATTTAAAAAATAACTTTTATGTTATTAATCGTAATAAATAAAATTGTATTTGACGCCATCTGTTATGAGATTTTATTATAAAAACTTTTTATGTTATTAATTATTATAAAATGGCACGAAGCTTAATTTTCAGGGTAGCAATGAAATTTATAAAAAAAAAATTTCAATGCTAATAACGAGTAAAATGGTTAATAAGTTCGACCCCTGTCGAAATACGACATGTGACAACCCCTATCTTCCCACCTCCTCGACTTTTAATCAACAAAATTTAATAGTATCAATGCATCCGTACACACAAACCACCATGCCAAATTTTGTTTCTTAATTAATCTTTACCCCCATCATGAGATATTAAACGAAACAAATTCCAATACACATGGAATTATTTTCCTCTTTTTTTACTCTTTTGGGTTTAGGGATCTCAAAACATGGAAACTTTACACATTATTAGCATTTACAATTTCTTTTTATTTATAAAACTCATCACTACCATCAAAATTAAGCCTGTCTGCTATTTTATAATAATAATTATAATATATAAAGTTTTTTTATAATTAAGTATCATACTAGATGGCACCATACACAATTTTATTTATTATAATTAATAATATAAAAGTTATTTTTTAAATAAAATTTCATAACAGCCAGGAAAGTTGTGCAATTCTATTGAATTTTCTTCCACTCGTTTTTTCTACCATTTTTTTCTTGAAATAGTTTGTTCTCAAAACAGTAAAATCTTTTTAGAAGTAGTTACAGTATTACATCGATATCGACTAAAATATAATTTAAATTCAAAATATTAAGTTGTTTTTTAAATAGTAATTCCAAATTAATCATTTAACTTATAGAATAAAAATGTTATTTCGATAATATTTACGGAATTTTCTTTCTGTTTTATAGATGATAAATGGAATGTATTCAGTTTTCTCAACCGTCATCCAACTGAGTGGCGTTCTTGGAAAGAAGAATTGTCGAAGTGGAAATAAAACAGTTCACTAAGTATCGAAAGAAAGCGTTCATCTTCTACACTATAGAAAGAATTTACAACATTTAAATTGTGTTATGTGTATACATAGATGTTTCTGCGTTGTAGTATATATTTAGATTGACGCGCATGTAATGTACAGTACACCACGCATCAAGTAACGTCAAAAAAACAAGGAACACTGGCACAAAGAACACCTTAACCGTAACTTAGCTGCATTTATGCAGACTCGAGAGGAGAGAGAAATACCAGAAAAAATTCAACCTGTGCAACTTTCGAGGACAGTTTCTCTCTTTCGCATAAACTGCATCGCGAGTAGAAATTCTGATACGAAAAGTTCTCTTTCGCTTGTCTTTTCCTAATTTCGCGTCTGTATAAACGCAACCTTATGCAAATTTAAAAAATTTGGATGTCGTGAAACTGTAAAAATGCTACTGTAAACACGTGAATAAATTATGAACAGTTAGAGAGTTAATGTGAAATGATGTTTGATCTTGGCGACTAGTAGTACTTCATTTTGACTTCAATTCAGATGTACTTCTATCAAGTACAGTACATCTGAATAGAAACATTTCAACGCAGTTTACAATCAGGCAAGACCGTACGCAAGAAAAGTACGATAAGGCTGCGAATGACAGCAGGCCAGGAATTTTAGTCGTTACCTATTATATGAGATAATTCTACTTTCGCACATATACGACTATACAAGTAATGATTGTGTATATTTCATTGAATATGTGACAAATAAAATTCCTGTAATATGTAGATATAGAAAGTGCGTGTTTTTGCGTAGGTATTTTCTTATAGCACGAGTTATTGTACAAATGAAATATTTGTTGTAGCATTAAAGATATCATGATGATGAATATTGGCACATTTGTGCGTGTCCTGAAATGCATGAATTTCGAATTTTAAATTTCTGTCTAGAGATCGTTGAACACCGGTGCATTAATCACGAATATTAATAAGTGTTTTCCAATATTATGAAATCTATGTTTTTTAATTAAACATGATATATGTATCCTTTAACGTGTGGTTTGAGTTTTTGATATTGCAAAACGTTGTAAATAAATCATCGTGTACAATTACAAAGCCCATGGCCGTAAAATGTCAGTGAGGTAACGCTAGGGTGTCACAAATTCTATCAAAATGACCAGCTCCCATCGAAATTCACGCTTAATAACACTATAAATTATAAAATCTGGTGTTTAATTTACAGTACATTTCAACGTTAAAGTGATAACAAATTTTTTTAAACCAGGAAGAATGATACTCTCTTATAAATTAATCCAAAACGGAATCAAGATTTACCATGAATACCTAGAGTAGAGGTATTCATGTATTTACGTGTATACATCAGGTGTATACGAATTTATTGAGTAGTTTTCATTTGGACATATCTCACGTACTCTCTTGTTAAAGATAAACGCAGCGCTGAATGATAATTATAAATGCGTTTTGCTTTATGATTAAAAGTCTGAGATGCATAACCTACTTCTCAGGCACTTAAATTGCCATAAATTAAATATAAATAACGGGATAAAATTTACATGTTACTTTTATGTTGAAGTTCTAATATTAATTCTTTCCATAGACAGACTATAGGTAAGTGTGTCTAATTTTTTGACATTTCAGTTTATTTTAAAACATGTTTTTTCCTTCCATACATTTAAAATTTTATTAGTAATATTTAATTTTTATAAATGGAAATAAAATTCTAAAAAAAAAAAAAAATTGTTATATACGAAGTAACTGGCAACACTGAATGATTATTTATTTTCCCATGCTGGAAATTGACAGATATTTGTAGGAGACGGTGATGCTTGAGATGTAAAAAACAAAAAAAAAAAAAAAAAAAAANAAAAAAAAAAAAAAAAAAAAAAAAAAAAAAAAAAAAAAAAAAAAAAAAAAAAAAAAAAAAAAAAAAAAAAAAAAAAAAAAAAAAAAAAAAAAAAAAAAAAAAAAAAAAAAAAAAAAAAAAAAAAAAAAAAAAAAAAAAAAAAAAAAAAAAAAAAAAAAAAAAAAAAAAAAAAAAAAAAAAAAAAAAAAAAAAAAAAAAAAAAAAAAAAAAAAAAAAAAAAAAAAAAAAAAAAAAAAAAAAAAAAAAAAAAAAAAAAAAAAAAAAAAAAAAAAAAAAAAAAAAAAAAAAAAAAAAAAAAAAAAAAAAAAAAAAAAAAAAAAAAAAAAAAAAAAAAAAAAAAAAAAAAAAAAAAAAAAAAAAAAAAAAAAAAAAAAAAAAAAAAAAAAAAAAAAAAAAAAAAAAAAAAAAAAAAAAAAAAAAAAAAAAAAAAAAAAAAAAAAAAAAAAAAAAAAAAAAAAAAAAAAAAAAAAAAAAAAAAAAAAAAAAAAAAAAAAAAAAAAAAAAAAAAAAAAAAAAAAAAAAAAAAAAAAAAAAAAAAAAAAAAAAAAAAAAAAAAAAAAAAAAAAAAAAAAAAAAAAAAAAAAAAAAAAAAAAAAAAAAAAAAAAAAAAAAAAAAAAAAAAAAAAAAAAAAAAAAAAAAAAAAAAAAAAAAAAAAAAAAAAAAAAAAAAAAAAAAAAAAAAAAAAAAAAAAAAAAAAAAAAAAAAAAAAAAAAAAAAAAAAAAAAAAAAAAAAAAAAAAAAAAAAAAAAAAAAAAAAAAAAAAAAAAAAAAAAAAAAAAAAAAAAAAAAAAAAAAAAAAAAAAAAAAAAAAAAAAAAAAAAAAAAAAAAAAAAAAAAAAAAAAAAAAAAAAAAAAAAAAAAAAAAAAAAAAAAAAAAAAAAAAAAAAAAAAAAAAAAAAAAAAAAAAAAAAAAAAAAAAAAAAAAAAAAAAAAAAAAAAAAAAAAAAAAAAAAAAAAAAAAAAAAAAAAAAAAAAAAAAAAAAAAAAAAAAAAAAAAAAAAAAAAAAAAAAAAAAAAAAAAAAAAAAAAAAAAAAAAAAAAAAAAAAAAAAAAAAAAAAAAAAAAAAAAAAAAAAAAAAAAAAAAAAAAAAAAAAAAAAAAAAAAAAAAAAAAAAAAAAAAAAAAAAAAAAAAAAAAAAAAAAAAAAAAAAAAAAAAAAAAAAAAAAAAAAAAAAAAAAAAAAAAAAAAAAAAAAAAAAAAAAAAAAAAAAAAAAAAAAAAAAAAAAAAAAAAAAAAAAAAAAAAAAAAAAAAAAAGATAAACATGACACATTGGTCGGTGTTTACGTTAAGAGGTTTAGTTGCCTTTCTGTCTTTTATGAACATCGGAACGGCAATAAGATGTTTCATCGACGATGGCTTCATGAGAACAAAATTTTTCCGAGGTTCAAATGCAAGCACTGACATGGATTTTCAAAAAGGCAAAACAAATAAATAAATAAAGTAATTTTAATGATTTCAAATTTTATGGATGATTAAATTTACTTCTTTTTTTTTCAGGTGGGTTGGGTTTGGATCGATTGTTTGGATTTTGGTCTATTGCAAATGCTGTTATTTATCTACATTCTGCAGTTTTTTTACAGCATAAACAGTATGTATTTTTAAATTATTAATTATTATAATTTTTATATACAATGCGTTTGTTTATTAGTATGTACACAAAGATATCAGATAATTAAATAAAACTTTTGACAATTCAAGCCATTGTAGGTACAGATGCGGCTCTGAATGATTTAGTTGGCTCCCAACTGTTGGCGCACTCAGGGGGGCCAAGGGGCCCTGGCATCCTCAAAGTAAAAGGAATAAAAAAAGCTGGTAAATTTTCCAAAAATGTTTTCCCAATTAAAATTTTTTTACTTATATTATGTGGTGTCTTCTATTTCTGTGTTACTTATTAATTACCAATCGTAAGGTGGTAATTTTATTTGATTCGCATTAGAAAATTTATTATTCATTTGACTTGCTGCCCTGAAGGTTAAATCTTGAGTGTGCCACTGGTTCCAACAACTGGATTCGGAGCTGCAATTTCACCCATTGTAGATGACAGAAATTAAAATTTACATTTTGTTTTAAGTCTTNATTTTTAAATTTTTGTTTGTAGAAAAGGGCTAGCAGAATTACAATTTAATAAAAAGTAAAACACATCTGGATACGAGTCCAATTTTCTTGCCATGTCTAATCACCAGGAACAACTATTTCCATTGCAGAGACAACCTTTCTTTAGAGGCTATGCCTCTGCACAAACATGTAAAACAGTTTAAAATGTCCACAGGTGACAATCCCAACACAATTAAAAATATAATATTTGTTTGTAGAAAAGGGCTGGCAGAATTACAATTTAATAAAACATAAAACACATCTGGATAGGTTGTGCCTTTTTTCTATGTTCAAAAACGGCTAAAACAAATTAATAATAAAATATTAATTTATAAGAAACAGGAATATTGCATTTGTACAGTACGTAATTAATTAAAGCACGTTTTAATACGAGTAAAATTATTTCTAATACGTTAAAGCCCTTTTCATGGTTTGAAACACTTAAAGAAATGACATTCAATAAACTATAAATATTATTTTTGTCAGCCCTTAAGCTCTGCATTGTTGTCGTGACTGAAGAACATAAAATAGGAATCTACACATATCTCAAATTTTTATGTGTTTGTATCTACTTAAGTATATTCATAGAGGAAAAACAAATTACATAACGGAGTATATAGGATAAGAAATAATTCGTAAATAATGTTATAAAAAAAGTTCACGATAGCGTACGTAGTAAAAAAATAGCGTGTAAGAAAAATATATTTTACAAATAATACAGTAATTAAGTATCAACTGTTCGATATAGATGATCGTGAGGCAATACGTATTTTCCTATAATTTTAGGTCAATAGTTAGTGGAAAATAGCGAGAAAACGTTGGCAATATGCTGGAACAGCTTATCCTTCTTCCACAAGACTTTGTAATTTTACTAGTTCTTATTGTCACCATAATTCAAGCTAGTTACTGCAAAGTGTTGTACAGTACATACTGCTATTTCTTGAACACTGCACTTTGAACTGCAGAATCATTTAGTTACATCGTAATTCAGTTGCTAACGTAGATTAACAACATTTAAACATTACCTTTGCGTCTGAGGAAGAACAGATCGAGTCAAAAACAAACTATATTCTGTTTTAAGGGTGGATGGAATTCAGGAATTGCTCAATGAGCCCATAATTTATTTATTGAAATGGACAGTGACGAAGAAGTTGCAATTCTCATTTGTTAATTTTAATTTAATTCAAAACCAAACCAAGTTCTTCACCTTTTTAAAGAAAGTATTTCGTATTATATGCAAGTAATTTTGACTAATAATGTTTACAAGACTAAAGAACAATGTATTCATTTTCAAATTTCTATGTTTATCTTTTTCTGGTTTACAATTCTTAAAATTTTAAGTGTTCTGTTCTTCTCTGTCACTAAATTCAAGAGAGATTTAGTTCAAATAAATTAAATTAAATGAACTGAAACAATGACAATACACAAGCAATAATGTGTTTATGTTAATAGAAACTTATAATTAAAATCTATTTTAAAATAATTATAAAATAACAGTTCAAAGTTCAAGTTCAAGTTTACCTGTATTTGGGATAAAACGAAAACTTATGTTGAAATAAATACCTTTATTATAAATACAGGTATTTTTCAAAATACTTTGTATTGGGGTATTTCATAAATAAATTGTGTATTTTAAAAATATTTTATAGACTTGATACCCAAATACTTAGCATTCGTCAATGAAGTCTGTAACGTATGCAGAACAAATACACTTTATTGACTTTAGGATATATTCAGTTTTTCTCTACTTACGTCACATAATTTAGTATCTTATATATATTTATTAATAAATTATTAAAATTAATTATGTATAGAGATTAAAGCTACGCCGAAATTATATTAATTAATACACTTTATACGGTTTGAAACAATTGAAGATAGTAATAAAGTTACATTCAATAAATTCCTATTATTATCCTAAGAAACCTCGAGGATTGCATTGCTTTCGTGACAAACATACATAAATATAGTATCCTGGATATACGTAATGATTATTTTCTTGTTGTATTTAGAACAATATGTTCAGAGATGAAGGCCCACAACCATTCAATATACTGCACTGTCTGATGTGCATTATTCCTATAGAAAATTAGGTAAGTTGTCAAAAAACCAGTTTAATTTAGATAATAGATTTTTATAATTTGAAGTTTCCTAAAACTCAGTAAGCTATTGTATTATAATAAGTAAAATCAACTATGGGAATTAATATACTCTGCAATATTATACGAAACTGTATTTGTTTTACTGAAAATTTGCATTTAAAATCGACTTTAATGTTATTAGAATTTACATTTTATCCCAAATTTTATTTATTTAATCGAAATTTTCGACAGGAATATTCGCGAATCAAGTCTACAAAAAGTACAGAATAAATACATTTTATTAATTTTACTCTATATTTAATTATGTGTGCACAGCATATAAATGTCTTCTATGCTGTATATTTTATTATTATTTGCAGTTATATGTTTAAATATTATTAATAATTATGAATTTAGCTCTATACAAACGTCCACGGAATTTTTTCCTCTTGTGTATGAGATTTTTGAGTTCAGGGGATCTCAAAACATGGAGATTTGGAAGAGGGTCAAATTTGACCAGACTCCAATACTTCCCGTGGGATATACATAAAACGAAAAGTAAAATGGAGAGCGATATACGTTATCATTTTTGTATTGTATTTAAGGGAAAGTATTGAAATATATAACATATTGTAGTGTTATTCGTATAGAAAATTATGCAAATTTACACAATCGCAAGTTTAATTTAGAAAATTGCGAAAGATTACAATAAGTTTTACTTTATGAGAATATACAATTAACAGTGGAAATATCAGAAATTTCAAAATAATAATTTATTATTGCTTTTCTAATTTATTTTACCTTATAGCATTGAACGATGAGAGAATACTTCAATGTAAACTGAGTCGAAGTACGAAGTCTTAAATATGATAGAAGTAGAATAAAATAAATGAATATTCTCTGAATTATTAACCTACTGTTTAGGTAAGTGAAACGTTAATTATTTTAAGGATAATTACAAAGAGTTTTTACTATAATATTTTATTTATAATGTAGAAGAACAATGGAGACATATAAAGAACATGCACGATTTCTATTTGGTTAATATTAAATCGATTCATTCAAATTTGGGTATGACCAGCTTTCATTTTAACGTGTAAACATTATAGAAGTGTCAGAATGTTATACATTCAATTGATGTTTATTATTATAAATCATTATAAACAATTTTGCGAATATTCATTTGAAAATTCACGTTTATCTTATCTCTGCGTAACATATTTCACGTTATTTATTTCTCATTATGAAATTTTTAGCGTAGCGAAAACAGTAGAAGCAGTTCAACTAACAGACTTACCTTTAAAACGCTTATAAACAGAAATACTTTTCGTGTACAGATGTAAGTAAACTAATTTAACTAAAAGTACAGTACACCATGCAAACTGAAGTAACTAAATCGCAGGACACGTATTGCATTCGCTATTTAATGACCCCAATAATATCAGTAAAATCAATTTTCGCACTGGATTTCATTTTGCCATGCAGTTCATGCAACATAGGGTACTCAATGAGCAAGAAGCGATCCCTCTTGTATAAGATTTACGCCTCTGTGATAGAAGTAATAATGTGGTTTTTGGCTTTATATTGTTTTATTATAATGTTCAAAGATGATATCATGTGTTCTGCTTTCTATGTTATGCGATTTCCCTCAAATCAGCTGAAAGCATTATTATCATTTATATCTCTGTTCATGGCCATGCAGCTGACTATAGTAAACAGAAGGAAATTCACAATTCATTGTAGAATCAGTAGTTATAAAGGAGAAATGGAATGGGTAAAACAAAAAGAAATATACTTGTTAACAATTTTCGGTGTGTTTTTTGTAGTTTGCGTTATAAGTTATTTATTTTCTATGACGGCATATTTTTCAATATACCGCGAGAACAGAGATGCATTCGAAGCTTTTGCCTGCTCATTTTTAACTCAATTATGGTGGTTTTATACATGCGGTCAGACATGTTTGATTCTTACTTGCTGTATGACTACATTTGTTATTATAAGAAACAGATTGGTCCAATTATCTTCTAAACTGGTCGATGCAAGGAAACATCATCTGTATCTGAATGAATTCATAGAAAATTTGATCGAGAGTCATTTTGAAATATGGCAATTTTTACAACATATCAGTGACAGGTGGAATGTATATTTTCCACTTGTTTACATTTATTTTATGTATGCCTCCAGTTTTCAATTGTATGCGATAATTTTTATCGATATGATTGAAGAAACTCGAATCGTTTTAACAATACTATGCGTAATTTACCTATTGGGATCAGTTTTGACAGCCTGGGCATTATCAAATTTCTTTTCTCAGGTATGTTTTTCCATTATTTCTAGTACGAAAAACAAATTTAGACTACAAATAAAAATTATCTTTTGAATTGATTTTCAGTTCTATGACAATTTCATTTCT